TACTTTCAACATGGCTCTGGGGGCTGGGCTCTGAATCTCCCAGTCCAGCTTCAGCTAGATCATCTTTGGTTTTATTAGACTGGAATACCAGGGTGCTACATAGAATTTCTATAAAGATGTCTTTTAGATCAGTGGAGTTCAGGAAAAGGATCAGGTAGAGGGAGTGGGAAGGAGAAGGGCTAGTACTGGGGTCTGAATTGAAGCCAATTATATTCCATGCATATATAATTATGTCAAAATTAATCCTAATGCTATGTATAACTAATATGAACCAACAAAAAAATGAAAAAAAAATCTTTTTTAAAACTAGGAAGACCACAGCAGTCTATCATACTATCTTTGTAGCATAGTGCATCTGAAACTAAATTACATCCTATTAGCCTGAAACAAGATGCAAATAATGTTCAATTTATCCCATAATTATCTCAATCTCTGTGGACTAGAATCTAGGACACTATTGTGGTTCCCACTTATGAGATGGAATAGAAAGCAAAAAGTGATCCTATGTTTTGCCCAAGCTACATTTGCTGTGGAATAGCAATCACATAATTTCTCAATAATCCTGTTTGGTCAGATCACAAATATAATCTAGGTGTTTACTTGATGCAAGGGGAAAAAAAAAAGTATGGCCAGGGATTTTACTGTCTGGACTTTTGCATTAGTTATATCTGTGCCTTTGTACAATAAGACATTTCACAGGATACTTTGTTCTGGAAAAACACCACTAAAGCCACTGGTGCTTTTGTGGATAGACTGCAAATGTCAGAGACTCCGTAGAGTTACGGTGACAGATAACCCTGGCCACTGACGCGTAATAAATGATTCTCTAAAGCACGAACTTGGCAGGTTCTAGGATGGGTTCATGAAAGGGTGAGGCTCACACTCCCCTGCCCATCTTTCTATGATCCCTATTGACCCATCCCTGTTTTTCAAGGTGCATGGTGGAATATGTGTTTATCCTCCAACAGGGAACTAAAGGAGAAGATCCAGCCAGAAATCTTAGAGCTGATCAAACAACAACGCCTGAACCGTCTGGTGGAAGGGACCTGCTTTAGGAAACTCAATGCCCGGCGGAGGCAAGGTATTGTTTGGGGACACTCCACACTTGAGCTAGGTCAACAGTGGACTGCTCCTGGGGTATTACAAGAGCATGATACTGGTCTAGCAGCACTGTTCTCAGGACAGGAATAGCAGTCCAGGGAAGTCCTTGTTTCCATGCTCACCTGGGGAAAACCAAGTCCAGAATTGTCAAAAGGCCCTTAGAACTTAAAAGCCATTCTTTGTCATTTAATAATACAAAGTTGTTGGTGTCAATAATAACTAATGTGTACTCTTTGCTTACCATATGCAAGACTTTTCTCAAAACGTTATTTTTTCAGCTGTGTGCCTCATAAGATTTCAGCCAACAATGACCCTTATACATAGTGGTGGTCCCATAAGGTTTTATCAGCTAGCAACATTATAGCCATCTTAGTTTGTGTAAGCATACTTTATGATGTTCACACAGTGATGAAACCACCTAACAACACATTTCTCAGAATATATCCCGTTATCAAGCAAAGCATGACTGTATTAATGCACAATTACCCTATATAGTAGCTATTGTGATGATGCTTCATTTACAGATAAGAAAACTTACCACTGAGGGGTGAAGTAACTTACCCAAAGTCATAGAAGAGCAGGGTTCATCTTCCATAGCTCCATGGTCCTTCCTTACCTGCCTCTTTGTGCTATTGGCACACCACCCATCATTGGATTGGATCTGAGAGCTTTCAGCATAGATGACCCTTATTCTTAAATATCCAACACGGATTCTCTCCCAGGTCAGAGGTATTTTATTTGGGGATATGAGTAACAATGAATTGAGTGAGGTAGAATCTATTTTTACAATTTTTTCAAGACAGATTTATAAATTGTCTTTACAATCTTTGACCTGAAAATGTCCAGTCAAAATGGTGCCAGTAGACAAGATCCAATAGCTGGGAAGCATTTCCAGCTATTTATTCACCTTGAACAGTTTCTTGCTCTCTTGATCTGCTGCTGATTGTATAGTCAAAATGTCCCTATCATATTGCCCTAGAAACAAACCACCAGAAAATGAAACTGAAAAGTAAGGTTTGGAGAGAGATAAAGAGATGGAGGAAGAGTCAGGAATAAGTGAAGGTATTAACAGCTGTACTAAGGAAATCATTAGTTACAGCCCAGGAGAAACTCTGGCGGATGTTTTAGAAACCTAATGGATGACCATCAACATTTTGTGTCTGTGTTAAACCCACCCCTCTGGCCATTCTGTATAACTTCTCAATACTGAGTATTAAGAAACTTTGAAATATTTCAGTGCTGCCATTAAAAATGACTTTGAGGAACTTCCAAAGGCAGAGCTTCCTGGAGGAAGGAAATTGTAAGATTCACAGTGAGCTTTACACTGGGCCTCAGGGGAGGAAAAGGGGAAAAATAACAAAAGACTGAGTTATAGCTGGGACAAGAAAAGCTCACATTAGAAAAGCAGTGGAAGAGGACGCACCTCTCCCATTCATCCACCGAAGGATGAGTTCATGGCCTCCTTACTCACTGCAGTTTTTCATTGGGCATCGTGTCAGAATAACTGGTGTTCCAGGAAGACAGAGTAGCACGGTGGCCAAAGAACATAGGAACGAGGTGATTCAGCTTGCCCGCACCCCTCTTCAGCCATGTGATCTTAGGCAGCTTCCCTCTCAGATAACAATACCCATCTCCTAAGGTTATTGCAAGGAAGAAGGCACTCCTGAATGTAGCTTTTCAAAAACAACACAAAAGACAGCCACTATTATTCTGGAAGATTATGTAGGGTTAAAGAAGTGAGCTGAGAGTGAATAGATTTGGTTCTAAGCCTCTTGGCTCTTAACCACCTCGGCATCTTCAAACAGGATGTCATCTCTCAGGGCCACAAATTCCCATCTATAAATTGGAGGACAGCACTAGAGACTCAGAGAACTCAAGTAAGTCACATGGTCCATTATGTGCCCTGATTTCATTGCCTTCGGGAAAAAGTGATATTTAGGATTACAGGGCCCCCCCATCAAGGTGACTTAGAAAGTTTTTATTTATTTGACACTGGGCAAAGAGCACAGGAGTCTAGGGATGCAAGATGGCAAATAGAACAATACCACCAATTGCCTCCTCTGATGCCCAGGTAAAATCCTAATTTTTAAAACTGAATTTAACTTTCCATTCTGCTTTGCTGTGAGACTTACCAGAATAATACTATTTCTAGATGAAATAACTACAGATTCTTTTTTCTTTAAATAAAGTGTTCATCCCTTGTCTTGATTTTTTTCAACTTTCTTGAAATGAGCTACCTTATGAACAAAAAAAATTAGCATCTAGATGATGAATTTATTAGCTGAGCTCCCTAGGGAGCATGACCATCTGTGTTTAATACAAGATCATCCTTCCATGTGCAGAAAGGAAGGCATTTTGATGCTTGGTAAGTGGATTTGAAAATGGATGACTGCTTCTGTGCTTAAAAAATAGGGATTCAAAATAGACTGTGCTGAAATTGGTTTCCTATCACTCATCAAAACATTCTGTTTAGATTTACACAGATTAATGAGAATGTGACGTAAAATCAACTTTAATCCCTTTAAGAGAGATTTGCTTCCATGGGGATCTCACACCTCTCTACCAGGTTACAGAACAGGTGCTCCCTGTGCAGGAGCCAGGGCCACACTCCCTTTAAGCTTGTCCAACAGTGAGGAGGACACAGATGAGTGGATTTAAGTAATTAAATTTATGGAGGAAAGTAGGAAGGCACTTCCAGTCCCACAGAGCTAGAAAGGGGAGGATCAAAGTGTCTTTCCCTATGCCACATTTGTTTGGAAGGCACCCTGAGTGATTCTTGCCCATTATTTTCCTCATCTCATTCACAGCTCTGCTACATGGATAGTGTTATTCAAACAAGACAAATCTGGGTTTCTGGGAATACTAGGCACATTAGAACTGGGAGGCAGTAACCCAAATGAAGCTAGGTTCAAGTCCCTGCCTCCTCACTCAAGAGCTGGATGGCCTTGCTCTAGCTTCTCATCTCTGTAATTCTGTTTCCTCTCCTCTCAAGCAGGGATGCTGCTGGTTAACATCAAATAGTTTCAGGGGTTAAATAAAATCATACATGTTTCCCACTTAGTATGGTAATTCGCCCATCAATCAAACATTCATTAATGATGTGTATTCTTGCTTTTAACTTGTAGTAATTCAGAATATAGACTTTTAAATACAGGAGGTAGAGTGGTTTTGGATGTCACATACCTACTTCTCCCTGCTCTGTCCTCACCATGGAATCTAAGGCTTTACCTTCTGTGTTACCTGGACTCCCATAGAGGAGAGAAAAAAAAAAGAAAGAAAGAAAGAAAGAAATACGAGGAGTTGTCTGTGTTAAGGCCATTATTTGCTTCCTGAGAATCTGTAGTCTCAAGATCTGCCTTCTGCTTTCTATATTTTGGAAATTAAGGTCTTCCAGAATCCCTTGCATTGAAATGATGTTAATAAGACTCC